TGGCAAATGGGACTAGATTTATTTAAGATATCTGGTCGGCATGGATGGGTTGGATCAAAGGGTCCTTTTCCATGCTGTACAGCTGTATGACTCTATAAGGTAGCCTTGTTTTAATCTTCTGTTTGATTGGAGATGGAGGGTGGAGATTTTCTGTTACTGTTGTTGACCCAATTTCACCAACATTGCTTTGTCAGCAATGGTGACAGTAGGTAACTGTCAAGATGAATTCACCTGATTTTGCATAACAACAGATCTTCTAATTATATTTTACTTAAATACTGCCTTTTTAATGTTAGCCTTCACTGAAAAAGTGCAGAGAGGGTGATGTTACTAAAATATATTAAATTTTAAAAAAGATCGGCATTTTCAGAAATGTGAGTGATTCTGTATATCATTCACATTGCTTGCAGAATGTCTTTTCAGCTGCACAGTGCTATCTGTAATAAAGGTAATTACCTCCTGGCTTGTAATTTTTGATTCATCAAAGATGAATGTGTATTTATTTTCACAAGCATTTAGAAAGGATAATGAGTCAGAGTAGAATAATTTAAAAAGTAAAATGCTGTCTTTATCAGTAACTTATTTGAAAATAACTGATTAGGTCATCAGCCTTTATATTTGAGCCAGTAAAGCTGTGCAGTACATTCTCAATTGAAATGTGTTTACCCTGTTAATAAATGAAAAGCTCAAATGAGTTATATTTTTAAAAAATCCATCTGATATTGTACTTGGCTATCCTATGTGAATGTTAGTCATTTTAAGACTTGCTGGTAATCGTTTCCACTTGTTATCTTCCTGGGAGTTAACTTGATGGGTGGGATCAAGGCCCTGCGAAGAATTTTCCAAGTTGTGACTAACAAAAATAGTTTGAGTCAAAAATAAAATTTTCTAGAGAAACTCAGCAGATCTGGTAGCATCCATGGACAGAAAGCAGAGTTAACGTCTTGGATCTTCAGAACTGGACCTGAAATTTTAACTTTCGTTTCTCTCCAGAGATGCTGCCAGAACTGCTGAGTTTCTCCAACAATTTTTGTTTTTGTTTCAAATTTCCAGCATCCACAATTCTTTGTTTCATTTTAATATATTTGAGTTTATGGTTATTTTCAGCAAATAAAGCTCTGAAGAAACAAAACTTTATATACAATTGTCAATATATTTATATAGAAATATAATTTAGACTAATTGGTTGGGACATTGTTTTATTCTAATATTACAATTATTTTGAGATAGCAAGAACTGCAGATGCTGGAGTCAGAGACAATACCGTGTGGAGCTGGAGAAACGTAGCAGGCCAGACAGTTATTTTAGCTTGTTTTCTAACGATGAGTTTTTTACTTCATCATTTCTTTGCAATGTATCTTTGTTTTCTTAGTTATCAGTGTTCTGGCCTAAAATCTTGTTGCTCAGGACTTTAGCTATCTGTACATTGAATTGGAGAGTCTGCAAAGGGAAACGTGCAGCTTCAATTATAGTTCATTAGGAACAATTAGTTATGCAATAGGGCTTCCCCCATTCCTTGGTGTCTTAAGAATTCAAGATCTTTAAAAAATAATTTGTCCACAGAGGGTCTGTATTTAGTTGGGACCATCAAAAATTGTTGGTTTTAACACGACTTACAGATAATGGAGAATTGGCTGAATTGTGGACTTGTTAAAAATGTACTTATTTTTACCTATGGGGGAAATTTTAACCCTCAAAGATAGGTTGGATAAGATATTTTATAAAGTAAATATTTTCAGTACTGATATGAGCCCACCTACTTCTGGCTTTAATAGAGGTGGACAGAGGCCAATTGTAACCAGTCCAATTGTAGGAGGTAGCAATTTAAATATTAAAAGAACGTTGAATACCTCATATTTAGCTACCATTCGAAGTTTTTGAGTTGTAAGGAATTCCCTGGAGCTAAGAAGTGAGAAGGATCTTTCTGGTCTCTAGCACTAGGCATGTGATACAAGAATACAATCTGGTTAGCTGTAGCCAGGAAACAGACAACAAACCAATAAGGATCTGCTATTTTTCTGGGTTTACTGGCCACAAACCAGCATCCAGTAAATCCCTCTTGCCTCCTAGTTTATGAAATATGCACTTAACAATGCAGCAATTCCTTTTAGTGTTTTTTTTTAAATAGCATGTAACCCCATAGCTTGATAAAACTTGGTTTATTACAAGTCTGAAGCAAGTTTCGATTCAATCTGCAGTTTAGGGATTGGCACCGTATTATGTTAACTAAGTAAATTAGCTTGTAAGATATTACCTGTAAACCTCTGTGTAACCAGGGCAAATGTTTTTCATAAGCATGAGCATAAAGATAAATGGCCCAGAAACAAGTTTAACATTGATTTGTTTCAGAATGATTAATAAATATCTACTTACTCTTTTTCAGGTTATCAAAGGGATTACATCTGATCAACAAAAATGTCCATGATCCTGAGCTCCCAAGTGCAAAAGCAATTTATGTAGCTTTATTTAAAACAAAACTAGCTGTGAAGATTTCTGTAAGATTAGGGTCACCGATTTCATTGTTTCATGAATAGTGAAAGTGTAGAAATAGAAACCTCTAATGGAAGCAAAACGTTCAGTGATAAATATAATAGAAAATAGTTAAAAAAAAATTCTGCACAGTCAGAAACTTGCAAAGAACAAAACAAACATCATGGAAGCTCAAAGACCAACACTCCAGAATGAACCAGCATTGGTTGGATCTTGCATTTCTGGAGAAAAAGTGGTGGTGTTAGCTCCTGCTTTAGAAAATATGGGAGAATCTTTTTCTGCGGATGACAGCATCCTAAGTGACGACCTGAGCACTGGCTCTCTCAAACAGAAATCTTCAAGCTGCCGAAGAAAACGAGAATTCATACCTGATGAGAAAAAAGATGCATTGTACTGGGAAAAGAGAAGAAAAAATAATGAAGCAGCCAAAAGGTCTCGTGAGAAACGACGTTTGAATGATATGGTTTTAGAGAACAAGCTGATGGCTTTAGGTGAAGAAAATGCACGACTGAAATCAGAACTTCTTGCTTTGAAACTAAAATTTGGATTAATCACTGCAGCATTTTATGCACAGGAGATACAAAATCTTGGAAATGCTTCAGGGCCGTGTTTTCAAGACTATAAACCCTCTGGTATAAATTTAACTTCTTTTGCTCCTGATCATGAGCGTGGTTTTCTTGGAAATGGATGTATTTCAGTCATTAAACATTCACCACCAAGTTCATTGTCAGATGTTTCAGAAATATCTTCAAATGCCCGGGAAAGTCCTCTTCTTCAAGTAGCATGTAAAAGCCCAAATGGCACCTTCAAGGTCATAAAACAAGAGCCTCTGGAGTTCAAAGTAGATTCTGAAACTTATTTGCGAGACCCCAGAGAGGGAAATGGTTCTTATGTGTCAGCCATGTATAGAAATTGTATTGGCAGCACCTTCAGCAGGAACTATTCACATTCACCACCTTCCATACAGATTGCTAGGTCATCAAGTAATTCGCCAAGAACATCAGAGGCTGATGACAGTACATTAGGAAAACCTACATCTGAAGAAGAAGGTGAAGATGAACAGCAAGTGCCTAAAGGCCCAATCTCTTCTCCTATGGAATCCAAAATTGTGCACAATGCCATAGTTAAGGTTCCTGAATCAAACTCTTCTGCACTGCCTCACAAACTTCGTATCAAAGCTAGGGCAATCCAGATTAAAGTAGAGAATGTGGAAGCATATTATGAAACACCAGAGAAACAGCCATCATCTGCCAGTACCATTTCTGCTAAAATATCTTACCCATTGAACACAGCAGAAATGTTTAAATGCAATGCTTCAAATTCAGTACATCCTGCCTTAGCTCCTTTGTCTATTCAAGTAGCAAACATCAATGATTGGTCTCACAAACCAGAACTTTGGCATCAAAAAGGAAGTGAAGAGAAATTGGAAGGGGCTTACAAACACGTCCGTCGGTCATGTTCCCCTGTTGCACTAGCAAACCAATCACTTGCTGCTGGGAAAGACTCTGCCTTCATTAATCAAGGAGTACAATTGGAATCAGAAAACTTGTACTTAAAACAAGGCATTGCAAGTTTAAGTGCAGAAGTAGCTTCACTGAAAAAACTCATAGAAAAGCAACAGGCTGCTACTTCAGACTCTGGCAAAAGCACTACTGAGAAAAGATTTGCCAACTGACGTTGCAAATGAAGTAGAGTGGTTACTTTTATATAATGCTAAATTTTCACTGGAACAATTTTGTCTTTTCATTGTAATCAAATTGTAATTCCTTGCAAATGCTCACATATTGTCTGAATTGTACACTTTGAACATTGTCTTTTGTGGACCTTGTGATACACAGGTTGTACTGTACAATGGGAGCATTCATTTCTGTACTTTCAATTACTTGATACAAAGCTATGGATGATTCTTCCGTCCTTACGTTTTGTTCAACATCCAACATTGAAATATCATGTACACCAGATTAAATAGTTGATGAACACTGAGACTTGCTTGAATTTTTTTTACTTAATATTTCAGGAATTATCAACAAACAGTGTTAAGTCTGGGTATTTTTGTTATTTTAGTTTGAAACGGATAATTGTTCACTTGTAAGCAGCTAGTTAAGTATCAAAACTGGGAAACATCCTAAGTTTAAAAAAAGTTCTCCTTGGTATAGAGCATATTTTAGTCAACATTTATCACATGAATGTTGAAGACAGGCAAATTCAACTCAATTCCAATATATTTTATAATGTACTGATTGCTTGAATGTATATATTTAGAAATAATTTTGATTATTTTATTACAAATTTTATTATTATATTTTATACTGAGTTTCTTCTTTTTTTGGTCCTTGGGAATATAACATTTACTATCCAGTGTCAATATCAAACACTCTTAGGTCAATTATATCTATATCAAAGTTGGCACAATGAAGCTTCCTTGACCCTATACTAAACAATGTACCTTAGCACCAACTTATTAAAAAAAAACCCATATTGCACTTGTTAATTATATACAAGGTTGTGATAGGCAAGATTTTTAACCAGTAAGGAAATTTAAAGTTATAGAGAAAAGGCAGAGAAGTGGAGTTGAGGGTTATCAGATAAGTCATGATCTCATTGAGTGGTAGATCAGACTCCATGGGTTGAATGGATTACTTCTGTCACTACGTCTTAAGGTCTTCCAGTCTACATTCAAACGAAAATTCCATGTTAATGAAATGAAAGCCGATGTTCGGTACATTATGATTTGAGTAATCAAAATAAAATTAGATTTCTGATGAAGGGTCTAGGCCCGAAACGTCAGCCTTTCTGCTCCTATGATGCTGCTTGGCCTGCTGTGTTCATCCAGCTCTGCACCTTGTTGTCTCGGATTCTCCAGCATCTGCAGTTCCTACTATCAGGGGACACCTTGGCTTGGACAGACTGAAATGGCGAAGGCTCATTTGTGAATGTACCAAAACATTGAAACAATTCACTGGAAGCACACAAGGCTAAGATAACACAGTGTGGAGCTGGAGGAACACAGCAGGCCAGGCAGCATCAGAGCAGCAGGTAAACTGACGGTTTGGGTCAGGACTCTTCTTCAGAAAATCTGAAGAAGGGTCCCGAGCCGAAACATCAGCTTTCCTGCTCCTCTGATGCTGCTTGGCCTGCTGTGTTCCTCCAGCTCCACACTGTGTTATCTCAGACTCCAGCATCGGCAGTTCCTACTATCTCCAAGGCTAAGATAAGGCTTTAAAGACAGTATACAAATTTAAAACAAAACCCTCACCTATCCTATCTTCCAAGCACCAGCTGTCCTGCTCATGTCTGAGTTTTCCATTTGCATATTTGACTTAGCTCAGAACCCATTAAATTGAAATGGAAACAAGTCATCTTCATCCTCGCTGGATTGCGTAGGAAGTTGATAGGGTGGAAATTAATTTTTTATGTGCTGCATATGCAGAGTTAATGGTGTATTTTCTTTCCTGTATACTAAATGGAAGCCTACACCTTCAACTTGTTGAGCAGAAAATGTGTGCTCGTTGTGATCTTTACTGCCACCTGATGGACACATGCATGCTTTCTTATAATTTGCAGTTCAAAATCAATCATTGCTAACTACAAGCTATATAGTATCCATGGATATTTTAAACTAATGTAATCAGCTAATGTATTTTCCAAAGCCAGTGAGAAGATATATACAGTGTAATAGTTTTGGTATATCAATGCAATCTTGAATAATAATTCATGTAGTTATATGATTAGATATGAAAATTCATTACCAGAGAAATTATGTATTTTTGTGCAGCAATGGTTTCAGAAATATGACAGACAATAGTTTCTTTTTTCCTAATAGAGCATGGAAATTGTTCCTTGTATTGTAATTGAATATATGTTACAGTCACAAAATGTCTTCTGCAAGAACTCAGAGGAAATAAAGCTGTATCGACATGCATTTGTAAGATCACAACTGTTTTAAACTTGAATCTGTTAATGTTATGTTGTAGCGTTTAATAGTTGCTATAGAAGAATTTTTTAACAAATGCAAGCATGGTACTGTGGAAGAATGTTCCACTTTCTCTGCATGAGCTGTGCCTATGATTAGTCATCATCTTAATCAGGATTGGGAGGATAATACAACCAGATCCCTTCTCATAATGATGTTACTGTAATAGAAGTGTATGAACGTAGATAGTGTGAAGGTCTGGTTGGACTTGAATACTTTGACCCAAATGGTGTCAACCAAATGGATACTTGTCCAGGCTTGTACCTGAAGGGTGTTGCTGAGCAAAATCATTTAGGCTGCCACTTGCAGATCTATATTGCAGCCTCAGTTATTCACTTCAAGAGATTAAGTATAGAAAATTAAATGCGAAAAACCTGGGGCTGAGTCAAAATGATTCAGTCTTTCTGGATGATTCAAACTGGGTTGTGCTCACTCTCTGAAATAGATCAGTGCAAATTACCACGGTAATGCAAATGACAATAGGGAATAATTTTGCCCGAAGGTTATATTTACATATTAAAAAATACTAGAACAACGCATTAAAATAAGGTGAAGGAAACGATCAATTAAATTATTTTAAGATAGCATAACATTTAATATTTAATTAGAATGCATGTGGCTATACAAACTGCAAAGATTTAAAAATCTTGATACAATTTCGTCACTGTAAAATCCTAGATTTTCACCGGAATATGTTAAAATATAATAGATAACGTATTGGCTATTTGCGAACCCAAAAGTTTTGGCTGTTTCAATCAGTAGCTTTCATTAAAATTATTCTTTTGTTATGTTATTCCAAATTGATCCTAATTGAGCCTGCTGAAGTGAATATTTAGTTATCTTCCTAGTATTTTCTCTGAAAAATTTAGTACATTCTGTTGGTAGAAGATAGGCAACAATGTTGAGTCTTTAAGAGTTACAGTAAATTAAACTACTACTGCATTGCAGTATCTATCCAGCTGGTGCCTACCGCAGTCCCTTTGAAAGATATTACAACAGGAAGGAATTTTTTTCTCATTGATGAGGTAGCAAACCAAGTCAATTAAAGCTTGCAGCTCAACAGCCCATTAAAAAAAATCTATTAATTGTGATTTAATTAGTTCAACTAATGATCTTTTTTGCTAAACCCATATTGTGCATTTGGAAACTATTTTAATTGTTGGTTGCTTCTACCCTTATCTTGACTGATATTTTTCTTAATGGTGCCAGGCTGTAATATTAATCACAGTTGAACAATAGCTTTGCGATAAAGGAATGTAAGTAAATGCATTTTATGCTACTGAACTGTTTTTATTCTGCAAAATACTTTTGGTCTGCTGTCACTGTGTTACTGTCACTCTCCAGATACTATAATTAACTCTTCAAATACCAGTATGTCATTTCCCACTACGTTCTTTAAAGGGAAGACATATTCAGATTTCTATGCTTTATCCGTGTGGCTCAGTGGTTACCACTACTGCCTCACAATGCCAGGGACCCAGGTTCAATTCCAGCCTCAGGTGTCGGTCTGTGTGGAATTTGCACATTCATCTGGTGTCTGTGTGCGTTTCCTCTAGGTGCTCTGATTTCTTCCCTCACTCTGAAGATGTGCAGATTGGGTGGGTTGGCCATGCTAAATTGACCATAGTATCTAGGGATGTGCAGGCTGGTTGATCAGCCATGGGAAATGTAAGGTTGCAGAGATAGGGTAGGGGCACTGGTGTGGGTTGGATGCTCTTCAGAGGGTCAGTGTGGATGCAATAGGACATTGTAGGGATTCAGTGATAAAGTTTCACATATCTAAGATAATATTTTCATTGTGCATTCCTACCCCTGAAAATATGTTAGGCCAGCTTTTCACATAGAATAATGCTTAGTGTAATGATGTAATTTCTGTTTGAATTACTGTAATGATGTCACAAAGTCTCAAGATAAGATGGTGTCTTCATTGCATTTCATTTCATATGGCTGTTATATTTCAATTCTAGCAAAATAATACATTTTAATGAGAGATAATCAATCGAAATCATAATACAGGTGACATTTAAGTGTGATGATTTAACATAGATATTTCTGCAAAGGATGTGGGTTCAAATGTTTATTTGTAAAGGAATATTCCTGATCATTTGAAAGAAATTCTTAAGACCACCATGTTTTTTTTTCAATATAAATCCTTCCCTCCCCCTCTGGAGATTAATTCTGTCCCTCAGAATTTTTTCCTAATTGTTTTCCTACCACTGATGTTGGACTCACTGGCCTTCAGTTTCCTGAATAATAGTACCAGATTTACTGTCCTCCAAACTGCCTCTCCTGTGTCCAGAGAAGATTTGATAATTAATGTCAGTTTCCCTGCATTTTCATTGCTTGTCTCTTATGGCCTGGGATACATCTCATCTGGGCCTGGGGACATATTCATTCTTAAATCTGCTGAAACCACTAATACTTCTGCACTCTGAATTGTAATTTGTTCAAGTATATTACAGTCCTCTTCTTGATTTCTACTCCTACATCATTCTTCTCTATCGTGAATATAACTGTAAAGTACTAATTTGAAACTCACTTGTGTCTTCCAGATCCACCCACAGTTGCCACTTATGTCCTTCATGGGCCTCACTCTTGCTCTGGTTAACATCTTGCCCCTAATATACTTATGTGTTTTTCAATTTCTTTTAACCTGCAACTATATTTTCAGGTCCCCTCATCCCTGTTCTAAATTCTTAGTCATTCTGACCTCTACATGGAGAAATTATATGGCCAATAAGAGCTTGGCTACTCACAAATGGACTCTGGATGTGAGGCAGAAAATCTAATATTTGAATAGAGGGACTCAACAGAAATGAAGAAAGGCCGTAGTGGTCATAGGGACCGGGGGAACTGCAAAACAGAGGGAAACATGAAACATTGGGGGATCATCTTGAGTCTCAGGCAGATCCTGCGAGGATAACAGTGCAAAATGTATAAAATGTCTGCCACCACGTGCAAAGTAGGTGGAATAAGTTACTGTACTGACTCATATTGTTTTCTTGCTATG